AATATCTTGTGAAGACATTTACTGATAGTAATGAGATTTCAACACCAGCTCTAATACAAAGTGACTTACAGATGCAATACTTTTTTGATAAATGCAATCATTATGAGGAATGCGTTAGTCATTGCTAGCTATGGCATGCAGTATATAATGTCACTATCATCACAATTTTATTAAAAAAACATTATATCCATTCCAAATGTATTTGTAAGAAAAGGAAAAGAATGACATTAGCTATTTTATCATCAGAGAATGCCATTTAATTTTCAAGCCATAATTCTAAACAAAGAAAAATTTGAAAAACATTATTTTATTAATAAATGAAATAAAGTTTACATATCACTTCCTAGTTTTACCTTTTCTGGCTATAGTATAATGCCAGAAATGGAGGCAAAGTAATTTAGAGAGCTGTCAAATGTATTATCACTTTCTAGTTTCCTCTAAACACAACTTTTTCACATTAGAAAGTGATGTAATTTTTCCTCTGACATTTTGGTCCAAAATTAGACATTTAGATGCAGACACAGGACCGAGCATAAGAAATTCTAGATGTTAAATGACTAGAAAAATGGATAGGACATGTCCTGACATTTTAGTGCTTTGGGTTTTAACCAAGATCTACATACTTTAATATATCTACAGAGACCATTTATGGAAATCTAGCTATTTGGAAATAAAATAAAGTACAAAATTGGTTTATTCTTAATAGGTTTTCAAAGATATATAGCAAATTATAGCAATGTGTCTGGCTTCTGAAAACTACAGTCTTGATTAATAGTCGAACTGATAATTTGTAATGGCATGAAATATTAATCAAGTATTTTCAAATAAATTCACTACTTCTATACTCAGTTTCATTTTATTTTGGTGCATATGTGTTATTTATTATGTCTAAGAGCAAGTTAGTATTAAATTATTGCTAATGTTCTCTGATTATTCAAATACCTATATCCCCTCATGTTTTTCTATACTTCTTCCATAGAGAGGCATAGTTTCTTCCAAGCAAGTGTGCCCAAGCTGTAACCTTTAGACCTCAGATGACCCTGGATGCTAGAAATACAGACCCAGAATATCATACAAGCTGGAACTTTGTTATATGATTTTAGTGACTCATTTGTGTGGTATTATAATATGCACTATCTATATGATAAAAGAATCATACATTGATGCACTGGTTTCACATAACAAGGTCAAATGTCATAACTGTTTTGTGTTAGTATTGTCCTCTTTTGCTTATTGAAATAAAAATATAGCAATAAAGGAAGTTTTGATACTTATGCATATAAACCATGTAGTCTATTTTATACAAGCATCAAAGTGATTCCCCTTTCCTCTGTGTGGTTCAGGCAAGAAAAATGGTTGCACACATATATTCCAGGATATAATTTTTTATGTAATACTTGGGAGGCATTTTTCAAACTTGTGATATCCTTAAATTCATTTAAGACAAATGAAGTGTCAATGTTCTGTGCCTAGAGTACAATAGTTACTTTTCTTGTTGCTGAAATACTCAACACCCAAAGTTCAAGGAGAAAAAGTTTATTTGACTTACAGTTTGTAGAGGTTTCATTCCATAATTAGCTGGCTCTAAGGCAGGATAAACTGGCTGAGAAGCATCAAAAAGAAAACAGTTCATGGCACCTACAAGATAGCAAAGCAGCAAGGGAAGAAGAGACAAGATTCGTTCCTTCCTTTATATTGTATGTAGGCTACCTGCTCTAGGGTGGATATTACTCTCACACCCTTAATCCTAGCCAAACCAAACAGTGGGCTGTTCTACTAATCACAAACCCTTAATCCCAGCATCATAGTCCCTAGAATCAGGCACCTCTGAAAAAGTCCTATGATGCTTTGAGGCTTTGGTGGGACATCTAGACACAAACTATAACAGCCAGTAAGTGTTTGATTGATTAACAGTGGCATTTGCCATAGACTGTTAAATAAAATGGGATTTATGAACCCTGACATCCAGAGTTAATATTTAAATATGTTAGAATAGTATCAGTATCAAAAAATATGTCATTTGTTTTTGTAAAAACAAATCTTGACTGATCAAAGATGTTTATTTGCTGTTATAACACATGCAGCTATAAGAAGATGTTTTATAAAGTTATGCACATTTAGTTTTGCTTAGAATATAGGATATACTCAGCCTTGGGGAGATGGGAAATGGGAGCCAAGCTTGGGGAAAAGTTAAGAGTAGATGTAGAGTGATAGAAAAGTGTGCAAAACCTGGCAGAGACTGAGAATCAATCTTACTGCATATGCAGAAAAGTTCCAGAAGTGTAATTGTAATAAACTTGAAAAGCAAAGTTTTCTTACAACTCAAATTGGTATAGTGATTGATTTATTATACAAAATAAATCTACTAAGATATTTTTGTGGGAAATAACAATTTAAGATAGCATTAGAAATGTTCCCATGCAGCAACCATATAACTATTTAAAAGAATATTAAAGAAATAAATCAGAAACACTGTGAAAGCTCATAAAAAGTTTTGGATTACAATTAATGAGTGCCTGTTTTTGAAAAAGATGCATGCAAATAGTATTTCAAAAGGTGTACTTCCAAGATTTGGGCATTGATTAATATGAGAAAAAGGTAATTCTGAACTTGGAGCAATTTTTTGTGGAATCGGAATGAGTTTAGTTTGACTATGAAAAGTTTAGAATTAAATTGCACTACCCAACTGAGAGTTATGTTCAGATTGCATATTACAAAATTGGATTGTGGGTAAGTACAATATGAATACTCAAAAATAAAAGGGAATTGATGGCACAGGATAAAATGATTCCTAAAAGTAAAATGCAAAAGAAGGAATGATAAAAGAAGGAGGAATAGCTTTAACATTTTTTTCTTTTGTCTCATGGTTTTTTCTGTTCTATTCATGATTATATCCAAATCTTCACTGTTTAAAATCCCCGCTCTCTTATCTAGATTTCTGTATATCACATTCCCATCCATCTTTCCTGATTCTAATAAGAGCAATAGCAAGTTTCTTGAATTATGCAATTTGTCACTTTGATACCATTTCATTAAAGTTAAGGAGATTAGCAACTTTCTTAATGGAAAAACTACCTATGAATTGCACTTAGAATTGGCATTGTTCATTCTAGTGTGTGCCTTTATTTTCATTTGTCTCTGAAAAAAATGAGAGGGCCTTTTGAAGCCCTCTAATAAATCGAGAATCCTCTGATTATTGAGGAATTATGAGTAAAATTAGGACTCAAAGCAGGAAGGAAAGAAGAGTGCCATGTAGCTTAACTAAGTTTCCCAGAATGTTTTCCATAAAAGATGAAGAAATTTACTAATGAAATATGAGGCATATGAGGAAACATTTCATTTTATATTATTGTTTGACGAAATCATTTTAAGATGCTGAAACAGCATATCTGACAGGTACTTTTTGAAACCCTTTTGATTTTTTTCTTCACATTTAAAAATAAATCTCTGTTCATTGATATTTAAAATAAAATTATATGTTTTTCTGGAGAGCCATGTGATCTTTCAATGCATGGACACATTGTATAATGTCTCCCCAAATGTTCATCTTTTCCTTGTTATGGAAAATAAATTTCTTCTAAAATTTGAAAAGTTTTTATTTCAAAATTGATATCTTTAATCATATAGACATGGGTACATTATATTCCTAGTCTAAAATCTCTAAAATGTGTATTATTTGAATTTTCAAATAGTCGTGTTTTATTCCTGTTTTTTTTTTTTCCCTTACAGTGCTTTATTGGTTTGGTAATGTCAGAATGTGAGTTGATATCAAAGAAAATTTCACGTATGAAATTGTAACCACTTGGCTGATAATGTCATTTGCCTACAGAGACTTGCGTTTATCCCTGCGCTTGCCTGAGAGCCCTGAATGTGAGACTGCCTTCTAATTTAGCCTTTTCTTGGGTTTCCAGGGACAAGTGTTCACAGTTAAAATTCCGATCTGGACATGGCAAGCCTTGTCATTAACATAAGTGGATAACCTTTCCTACTTCCTAGATGAGGGGAAGGAATCCTCTTTGTCATTTGTCTTTATCAGGAGTTTGACTGATTCTTTTATTCTGTAAACTCAGGGTGGATCTCACTGTGTAGTCCAGCATTGCCTGCTTTCTGTGGCATCCCATCGTCCTGAACAGGCCTGGATCCTAACTTTCTGCAGTCTGTGCTAAGCTAAATAAATATTTTAATTATTTCAACCTAATAATTCCCATTGTAGGCTTGCACTCTGGTCACATTTTTCTGTTTATCCCTTGCACCTGAATTACATGACGGAAAATTCAGTTATTTATCTGGAAAAAAAGAGATGGAAGGACAGTTTTGGGAGTGAACTCACTATCTAATTTGTCTTACCATTAAATCTATGTGTTAACTTAAATGAAGCAAAAGTTTAACTGTATCTAAAATTCAGGGTTGTCCAGCTACAGTATTTCAAGTTCAGCATAAAAATGTATGATACAAACATCTGTCTTCTGATTACTTTTGTCCTGGTTTCTTCATGTAACGTATATATGTTGTGAATACTTATATCATTCATCCCCGTTTGCAAAAATCCCTTTTCCAATGTAGGCTTTTCATGGAAAATTTTTATTAAATAATAAAAATGGGCTAATTTATATATTTTAATTGTTGTAACTCCAGTATATGGTTTTTTCTTTCCACCATTATTTCAACTTTGTGCAATGTTTTTCATTACATATTGCCCAATATATGCATAATTGTAAAATCTAACTTGTATATAAGGAATAGCTTCCTGAACATGAATTAGGTTCTTTACTTGACTAGCAAAATTTTGACTTATTAACTTAGTTAAATGCTCTACCTAGTTATTTATTAAATGGTTAATAACTCATTATGTGATTCTATTGGATTATGTTTTTTAAGACATCCATTTGTCATTATGGGTAATAAAAATTTAGAAAAGTTTTTTTGATTACAAGGTTTACATATCATTCTTCTCAATTCATATTTGAAACCAAAATTAATTGTTACTCAATTTTTTGCAGGTCTTCTTCAAGTGACAATTTCACTTAGCAAAGTAGAGCTTAGTGTGGGCGAATCTAAATTCTTCACATGTACAGGTATGTACTACCTAGAAAATCTTAGATAGCCTGCTTTGTATTTAATTATTGGTGAAGCATATTTGCTTTTAAGGGTTTAAAAGTTTGATTTGCTAAAAAATAAATTATTAATGACTTTTTAGTGATAAAAATTACTTTATAGCCATGTTTTGCACATTAAACTTCATGAAGATTATTTTTGTTATTTTCAAGTTTTTAGTTTTGACTGTCGACTAGAATATTTATTTTTGAAATATTTTCATGTTATGAATAACTTATAATGCATGAATAATATCTTAAATAAATTTATATATCTCTACCTAGGTGGTAAAATTAGGAAAAATGTAAAATTTTAACCAAACTGAGTTTATAAACAAGCCATGAATGTATTAGATATGGAACAGCGCATTTTAGTTACATTTGAATGAAAGTTGTGGGACAAAGTCTATTATTTGAAAAGGTAAATATGAACATAAATTAGTTATTTAATGAAGAAAGCTTATCAAAGAGCTATGAATCAGATGTATAATATAGCATGATAGCAATAGAAAATTACATGAACCTTATTTAGTTTAATCATGAAGATAAGGGTTCTTTCAGAAGACATTACAGTACTTAAACATCAAATTCTTATTCAGAGTGTTATAAAACTCACAAATAAAAGCTTTCTGCAACAATTTAAACACATCAAATTAATTTTTGTGTGTACCTGCTTTTACACCTAGAGTATTTGAACATATTTACTTAATGCTAAAATTGTGTATGAGGACATTTTAATATTGTTTCTGTTCTTTTTTTTACTAAAATAATTAAAACTGGGGCTGGGGATTTAGCTCAGTGGCATAAGCGCCTGCCTTGCAAGTGTGCGGTCGTGAGTTCGATCCCTGGTACCGATAAAAATGAAAAAGACAAAAAAAAAAATTAAAACCACATTTGAGGTAAGTCTCCCTGATGTAAAGTACATCATAGAAGTTATCTTGGGAATGATGCTTATTTAAATTGTTACTAAGTTTATTAAAATACAAACAATTTGAATAATATATTAGTAAACTATATCCAGAGTATATGTGTGAAAAACGTTACATTTTGAAAAAATGAATAGAACCTATGATTCTTCTTGTATCGACCTTCATAAAGGTCTCAATTCATAGATCTATGAATATACCATATAATCAAAACTTATACATGAAACTGTTGAAGACTGACTGGTTCAACATCACATATTATGTCAGAATAATTTTGATTTAAGACTATAGCTTTTTAAATGTTATTTATATTAAATTTATACAGAAGCAGATATATACATATATAATTATATCACATGGTGATAGAATAATAAAATGGTATACAATAAAGTTTAAAAATATGATTTTATTATGTTATCTATTACCATATCACTATAATGTTTGAAGTCAATTCTGTGAACTGTATAAGAATAAAATAAGACCTGAGTGAAAATTACTAATGAACATCATTCAGTCACAATGAGTTCCTTATTTTCTGTCCTTGTTTCATTGGGAGATAGAGCATAGGTGTGCAGAGTCAAAGTTAGGGTCTAGTGTATTTTAAGAATGCATTCTACCACTGAATTCTGCTTTAGATTTTGAGTTTTTAATATAAAAGCAAATAAATAAATATTGCTTCCTTTTACATAAAGATGTATAACCAAAAGCTGTACCTTGTTTGAAGGTAGTAAAATTTATATTACTTTTATTAATAAATCACAAATGAAAAAATTAAAGATATAAGAAGCCATGCAAATAAGAATGCTTATATTATTTTTGTGTTCTTATGTTGCCGTGAATGTGTAACTCCAAATTTTCCAGACCGCTTAAAATCTTTACATATATATTAAATTATCTTGTTAGTGAAGACATTATATATATATATATATATATATATATATATATATATAGTATATATTTTGTATATATATATTTTATATATTTTGTATATATATATATATATATATATATATATACACACACACAAAATAAGCATGTCTTTAATTTAAGCTGGAAGGTAAATATGCTGTGATCCAAATTAAAATTTAGGACCTGTACAAGTGAGTCTTTTATAATTTCAAGAAAATAAAAACATTTAATTATATGTGCAACAGTCTAGTTTCAATAACATTGGTAGTTGTTACAGAAATATTTGTTAGAGATTCTAAAAGAATAACATTTAGAACAATTGTATGAAAACACAGAACAGATTCACCATGAATTACTTAACATATTTTAGGGATTAAAATGTTCAACATATTTCTTAGAATTTCTATTGTCTGTAGTATAAAATTAATATGTTGCTCATTTTTAAAATTCCTTTCTACTTTTCCTACAGAAATAGGAATAGAAACAAATACTGCCTAAATGCATTATATTTTTACTATTACAGTTAGTGGTTCTATTCACAAGAACAAGATACAGCATAACTAACACCAATTTAAACTACTACCTTTTTCATATTTTAACTGGTCCCATTTTTTTTTTAAAGGTTATTTTCTTCCAAAGTCATTTCATTAGAATAGATCAGGAGGAAAAATTTTCTTAAAATGCAGTCCTTTAGATATTCTTTAAGCTTATACATTTCCCCTGATACTTCTGAATTAGTAGTATAGTTTGCTGAAATAAATCATCTGCTAATAATTACATGAAATGCATGCACTTGTAACTAAAGCAAATGCAGTTAACTATAGGTTGTACAAAACAGTTTCTAAACTACCTTCTGAATTGTAAAACTTCATGTTTTTATTGTAATGATTTGATGGGAATAGCCTAGCAGGATAAGTATCTTTTCAATATATTATAATTATTATCTGATTCAATAATTGACAATGTAAATTAAAAGATTAAACTATTCATTTCAGTTGGAAAAAGAGATCAGGATTTCATTGTTACTAATGGTTACTGGCCTTCTTTTATAAGGCTGTAATTTGGGAAATGTATTTAAAATTCAGAATGATTATAGGTCAAAATTCTTTGTAAGTGGTTTACATTTTTATAAGTGATTCTTTAAAAAGGAAAATATTGTTATGTCTTCACTAACAAGAGAATTTAATGTGAGAAATATATTAGATCAATATTTATGTTTAAATATACCTGTCAAATGGTTTTATGTATGGCTCACATAGTTTTAGTACTTAAATATAATAATAATCTATAGATGATTGATGTAAAATTTTGACTTTCAAAATTTAAAGGCTGTATAGGAACTTTCTTATGACTTTTGTATTTTGTTTTCTTGCACAGGAACAAGTATTCAGTATTGGGTAAAACAAGATGATCGTATGTGTTAACATTTGTGTTTTCTGTCAAGTTTTTATAATTTTCAAATTTTCAGTGTTCTATTTATATTTTTTAAAGTTGTTAAATTTTGCTTCCTAGTAAATGTCACTGCCAAAACAAGCACTTGGACATATTTCCAAATATTTCTTTTCCATGGCTTTGCAGCAATTGGTGAACCTGAGAGTATAGATTGGTATAATCCTCAAGGAGAGAAGATAATTTCAACCCAGAGGGTGGTGGTGCAGAAGGAAGTTGGCAGGTCACGACTGACCATCTACAATGCAAACATAGAGGATGCAGGGATATATCGTTGTCAAGCAACAGATGCCAAAGGACAAACACAAGAAGCTACAGTAGTTTTGGAAATTTACCGTAAGTCACATATTTATTAGATTAATTTTAGTGTGCTATAGAGAATTCAAAATGCATTGAATAACATTAACATTGAAGAAAAAACTAGGTACTGCATAATGTTCTAAGCTGTGTAGTATCTCAGTACATCTTAAATTCCTTCTACGTAATAGATAATTATAAATCTATAAAAGTAGCTAATTCTGTTGGTGAAATAATATAAACAAATATTTCTATTTTCTCAGTGCATTAAATCTCTGTGTAAATTCTTTTTTTCTCTCTTCTTTCTCCTTTCTTTCTTTCTTTCTTTCTTTCTTTCTTTCTTTCTTCCTTTCTTTCTTTCTTTCCTTTTTCTTGTACTGGTGATGAAACTCACGACCTCATGCTTACCAGGCATGCACTTGATCACTGAGCTAAGTCCCCATCCTCACATATATTATTTGTGATTTGCTAGTATTAAACTATACTTAGTCTAAATTTTAATTTAAAAATAAAATACCATGATTGGAACAAATGATATTACTTGTGTCATATTGTTACCATTTTTAATGGCACTAGCATGAAATCTGGGAGAAAAAGAATGAATGGGATAAAAGAGAAATCTGAAAACTAATCTAGGAGAGAATAGTATCTTGTTAAGATTCCTTACCACCTTCTATTTTCATTAACAAGATTTTCAAAATGCACACTTAATTATATGCTTAAAATGAATTGTTTCCATGTCCCTTTCTTCTTTCTTATATTTACAAATCACTAATTGGTGATTTTACAGGATCACTGTAAGATGATTTCACAAAATCACGGTGAATGTTATGAACTTCATAAAACCAACACTATACATTACTTTTGTGACCTTTTGCAAACTGCCTAACTTCTCTGTCACCTGTGTCCCTGTCTATAAATGGATGTAATAGAAAGTCTATCATACCTAAAGTTGTTTTGAGAATTATTATAACTAATATTGCATAAAGTACTCACAATAGTGCCTTACAACAATAAATGCTGGTTATCATTTATAACTGAAAATATTACACACATTTTTAGAACTTGACATCCTAAATGGTCATTTCTTTATTGATTTGTGTTTTATGATTCTAGAAGTCAGATAAGAAAATAATATCAAGTCATTCCGACAATAAGGCTTCTGCCTTACTAACAAAAATTTTGTTAATCTGTGTTTGGTTTCTTTTTTCTCTGATTTGTTTCCCTTGTTTATCCAAAAGACTTTTTTTTTTAATTTATGTGAACAGCCTCAGTACCTATTTCACATAAAACAATTAAATCAAAGTGTTTATTTCAAAGGCACAGTATCTTAAAGATTTTTCATTATTTTAAACGGACAAATGAAGATCACTTGTTTTTGTAAAGAATTTTTTAAAATAAATTTTGAGAGTTTCACAGTGCTTCACTTTTGGAGAAATTCTCCCCACAACAAATATATAGTGTTTCTTTCATTTAAAAAAATTTTTGTCTGCCTAATACAAATCTAAGTCTTATAAAAAAAATACTACAATTTTTAAAAATTATGGTATAATATATGTTATGAAATTTTAAAGAAAAAGAAAGTAATTAGAGATAGAACATGATGAAAGGTGATTTGGGAACATACTGTTACTTCACTGGAGGGTTTGGGCAGAAGTCTGAATGAACTTTAGGGAGTAAAATGGCTCTGGGCAAGAACAACCGTGGAATGTTCAAGAGAATATGGGAAAATAGTTGTTCCTGGAGCCTAATGACCAGGACAGAGGAGAAACTGAGGCTGGAGTGGTGGGGTGGCCTCTAGTAGATTATTGTAGTCCTCTTATATGACCTCTTGTGGCATTGGATGATTCTAGAATTTATTGTTGGTGTAATAAGAACTTGATATAATAAGATTTTACTTGTTTTGAGGTTTTAAAAGATCTAGGTTTACCTAATTATTTTGCCATAGCATAATAAACCTATTTTTACTGTTTATGATTTAGCATATATTATTCTAAATTTTTATCCCTTATTGTTTAGAATATATTATTGTGAAGAGTCATAACTGTTTTTTTTTTATTTGTTTTACTTGCCGGATATAGAAAAACTCACTTTCAAAGAGGTGGTATCTCCTCAAGAATTCAAGCAAGGAGAGGATGCCGAGGTGGTTTGCAGAGTCAGCAGTTCACCTGCACCTGCTGTCAGCTGGTTGTATCATAACCAGGAAGTCACCGCTATTTCCGACAGTTAGTATTTTGGTAACTCCCTAAGTTATATGTTCTACAAATCTGCAACTTGTGAAAATGATGAATAAATATGACTAGTCAAGGAAAACATAATTTTTGGCCTGAAATACCAAACAATGATTTTAAGAATTTTAAAATCGTTGTTGAGAAACTGGCAAACCATGGAACTCAGGACTAACTCAGGATATGTTGCTCTTGCAAGATGTTATCAAACACAACCCTATCCAATAGTTAGATATTTTCTTTGTCTCCTTTGGTGGCAGAGGTGAGCAACAGTGAGAAATGGCTTGGCTTCCAAAGCCAATGATAATTATCATCTTGGACATTTATAGAAAACTTTGCTTACTTATTGTATACTGTTTGTGGAAAATGATATACTTTTCAACAAAAGTGTGTAAGGAAAGGTGTACCTATTGATTTGATGTGCTATAATTCAAACACGATTTCATGAGCTCAGTATAGGTAAACCACGCCTTTATGAGTCCTGTTTATTATTCTGGGACTGTTCTTTCAGAGATATCTACATGTTCTAAATATTATGGAAAACTATATTTGGATAATAAAAAGTACATTCATTCAAATTGTCTTCATTTTTTCGATTCATACTGAGCTAAATCCCAGAATAATATGACATTTGAAATTGAAAGCATAATTTGCTTACATTATCCTTCTTTACCATTGTGCATAGGGAGCATTTTCAATTTAAAATACTTTTTCAATGCACCTGCATTGCGCAGAAGTACAAAATAATTGAGTCTTTTAAAAGTATTTTCTATCTTGGATGATTCCTTTTTGTGTTTCCAAAAGATGAAGTTTCTACAGCATAAAGGACAAAAAGTAGAGGATCTATTTTTGAAAATGTAAAGAGGATGTATCATAATCATGTTCAATAGTCATTTTTTAATGTAAAATAACCTGTCTGACGTTGGCATTTTGAGTGCTTATCAGATTTTGACAAAAACTCATTGTTAATAACACATTCTACTTTATTTCCCTATGTTATACTTAGTGCAACTACTTTAGACTTTATTAGCAAGGCATAGAGGAAATTTTGTGATATTTTACAGCCTTCTTTTTTCTTGTAATCATAAAAAGGTCACTTCTTTTCTAACAGTGTCTAAACATTTTCAGATTATTTGATATGAAGGACGATAGGTATGATTTATCATGAATCTTACTAACATGAAGATTTTTAAATCAATTATATTTTTAAAGATGCACATAGAACAAAAGCTTTGATTTGCTGATAATTAAGGAAAAGCAGATAGTTAAAGAGGTGGGAAGGCACAAGTGGTATTTCTATTATACAGTTCACCCCTTTCCCCTCAGTAATCTAGATGGAATAATGTAAATTCACAGTCTCATTTTGCTTAAACTCCTTTGAAAGATCCTGCATCATTTAAGATCATTTCTAATTGCTGTGTTCCTAAATCAGATTCTTCATCTATAAAAAATATATTTGTTTTATTAATTTAAAAAAATATTGGAAGTTTGGAAATTACAAATCTTTAAATGTTGATTAACTTATTAGATAGGTACAGAAAGTACCAAATAAACTATTTACTTAGTTGTTAAGTTCTCGATAAATTATGTTTATCTACTTATTTTTCTTATTCTTTCTTCTTAAGCTTCTAAAATATTTGCAATTAAGTTTACAAAAATTACAAGTATATAGGTTATATTTGAAGAGCAAATTCAATGTAGATGAAGCCACTGGAATTAAAAATGAAACAAAATTCTGTGGTGGGCAACACCAACAAAAACAAAAAGTGAAAGTGATCATTTTTAAAAATTGTTTAAATTATTTAAAAGAATTGTGAGAAAGGCCAAATTTTTCCAACTTTGTGATACTAGATAAAACTTGCCATATATTTTGTTATTAAATAATTTGTGCAGTTATTATTGTACACAAGAAGTAATATCCTTTATTTTATGGAGTCTATTTTTATAGCTAATGGAAGACTAAGTTTGTAATTCTGAAATGAACAGGGATAGAGATGAAAAAGAATGTAGATATAAAAGATCTAGGTATTTTTTTGTCCTAATATGAAATAGAATAACATATATATAAGACCAGATTGAAGGGTTATAAATACTCATATGCTTTTGATAGTAACTGTGTCACATATGTCCATGTCTATAATTCCTCCAGAATAATTTAAGTAGAATTTTTTGTTATCTTTGAAAGGAAGTCCATATGTTCTGGATTCCAAGCGTGTAAGGAAATAAAGATGAAATTTTCTTCTTATAAAAGTTGAATATTCTGACTTTTAGTGACACATACATTAAGGGATATATTGATGTACATTCAACACTAGTTTGGGTAAAAATTACCTTATGAGCTTCGTAAGTATTTTGGTTAGCATCTAATAGTAGTATTCTTTCTGTGTTAATAATTGTGGATAAAATCATCTTTTTCAAGTTAAAATAGTATATAATCTGCTTTTATTGTGAAATTTTCATTTAGCAGTTATAAATTACCACCTTTATATTTTTTGAATTCTAGATGTTGTTGATTGCCAAGAAAGGCAAGTCCACTGTCTTTAAAATAATTAATACTAATAAATAATAATAATAATAATGAATAGTCTACAGGTGCAAATATATGTAAGTCAGTAAAATAATCAGATAAATCACTCAGTGTATGTTAAAGAACGTGTGGCCCAAAGGGTATGGAAAGAAAAGAACATCTAAGCTATTAAAGCAAGGAAGTATATTAAAGATGACTACCAGGAAGAAAATACCATTTTTAATGTAAACTGTGATTACACTGGAAAGGGTAAAGAGGAGAGGACAGCATATGCAGTGGTCAGAGATCAAAGACAGCATGGAAGGGACATGCCAGTAACTACATAATTTCATAAGTTCTAGAAGCTTTGAGTGACTCTAGTTTGCATAGTTATATAATTAGATAAATATAGCTAACTATCTTAATCAAGAGCTAATAAAAGAAGCTAGGCAGGAACCATGGTTTTGACAGCTCTGCTTAGGAGTTTAGAATTTATCCAGATGGAAATCACTAAATAGTTATAATGAAGGGAGTAACATGGTCTAATATGTATTTGAAAATGATAGAACTATTTCTACAAAAAAAAAAAAAAAAAGACTTGGTGTCATTCAAAACCGCTGGCCCCAAGAATAGTTCAGATACTAAGGAAATAGCTGCTGAGGGAGAAGACTCTTCTAGTGATGTGAACCTTTTAGAAATTTTGATGATAACAAACAGCCCCCCATATGGCATATGTGCCAACATTAGCCAGCACTGGCTTAGACTAACTACAAAGACAGAAGTAACATGACAGAGGGTTTTGTTGGTTATGCCAACTTGAGATGGATATGTAAAGGATGTCTTAGAATTTGACATGCCACAAAGAAAGTTCCATAATTATGAAATTCTCTTAAACCGACAGTTCGATGTAAAGGCATTGTGAAGATATTTGAATACAGACCCAAGAGAAGCAGGAAGAGGTATCTGGCTAAATTTTAAACAAGCTAAAATCTAAGTACTTGTATTCCTTCTAATGAGATAATCTGCAAGACTGTTAACATGAGAGTTGCAGAACACAGAGGAATAATCTGATCTGAACAAAAACTGTGAATGATCAAAATGTAGATGGTGACTGTAGCCAGAAGGGTAGATGAAGGAAACCATTGAGTAGGTATAAAATGAGATTTTTTAAAAAAGAAAAAAGAAGAAAAGGCTTAGAAATAATTTGGCTAAAGGAACATAAAGAGACCACTTATTTATTGCTATCTGATTTATTTTCTAATTTTGATCATTAAAGTTAGGTTTCTGTTACAGTGAATAAAAAGATGTTGGTCTCATCACTTTTCTATTGCTGGGGGAAATACCTGATGCTTGGCACTTAAAGAGTGAGAGTTTTCAGTGGGTTCAGTCCAAAATTGATGGGATGCCAAGCAAAAACAGCATGGTGGAAGAGCCTGGCAGAGGACAGCTGCTCATCCCATGTCTGCAGGAAGCAGCAAGAGAGATGAGGAGCTAGAGAGGAGAATATATTCCTCCAAGTCACTCCCAAGTAACCCCCTCCAACCAGGCGCCCTCCTAGCAGTGCATTCAGCTACTCAACTCATCAATAGACAAATGTACTTATGAGTATAGCACCCCATTTTCAGTCACCCTCTAAACACGCTTTCTTTTAGGGGGGCATCTTAGATCTAAATCATAATGCAAATAGTCTGTAACAGTTAAAAATTTCTAAATCCTGTATTTGGGAGTGAGTAAAATAGTGCTTTCTTCAGATAGTTTCTGGAAACACCTATCAGAAAGTACTTTGTTTCAGTAGTTTGCTAACTATAGCATTATATATATAGCTTGGGAATGTGGCATAAGCAATTTCTTCATGTTTTATTTCCTTTGTAGAAAAATTATATACACATAAACACATATTTCATCATATGTTTAGAATTATAAGTAATTATTCTTTTCATGAAGTTACACTTTCTCAAAGTTAGTAAAATTGTTATATTCAAAGGACTATTTGAAACTAAAAATCTTATGGTAGAAAAAAAACCACTTATTTGTTCTCATCAAAGATGTTTATTATGTTGTGCTAGGGATTTAGCTCAGTGGCATAAGCACCTGCGTGGCAAGTGCAAGGTTGTGAGTTTGATGCCCGGTACAAAACATAAATAAATAAAAGATTATTATGTGATTATAATTCTTAATTCATATAATCAATAAATTACCATTTAACATTGCCCGTACTACTTTTCATAATTCAAGTAAAATGTCGACACCCAGAAAGCATGAAAGTTAAGATGATAATATTTTGAAAAGTTGGAAAACTTAACATTATAATGGCCTACATTTATTAGGACCATCTATACAAACTACAAAATTATAACCTCTTCCCATAATAATTTCACACCCTAATATTTGATATAACTTCTTTGGACTTTGAAATTTCCTGAATTTTCAGGAGTTCAGAGTTATTTCTGGATTTTATGTGATTCATATCCTAAAAATTCTTATAGATACTTTTTGACTTGGTCTTTAATTGATGAGAAAATCATGTTTGTGTTTTTATTTATTAGGGGAAATGATCTGCATAAACCTTCCTGTCTCCATTCTGAGGGTCAACATAGAGAAGCCAAAGGAACATTTCATATATTTTGTGGTGAAAATCAAAAGCTCTAGCTTTATAGTCATTATTTTCCTCCTAAGGTATCCTGCAAATCTACCCATTCTTATCTCCTTCAATTGTGTCTCACACAACAAGAAACTACATGCTTGTGTTTCAGTGGTGGTCTATTGCCAGATGCACCCTGGATGTCTTACTGTTATCTCAATTATCTCCTGTCTGATTATGACAGATCACCTCCACAGTCTGAATGCCCTGTTACCATAGTGGTTTGTCAGTCATGCACATCCATTTGGTAGCAGTGGTAAACACAGTATTACAGTCTGTGACTATAAATATCCAGGTGATAGAACCTGTAACTGTTTTACAAGTGGCTTCTATGACTTCCCTAGCATCTGTGTCAAACCAGGAGATAGTGTGAGAGCACTATAAATTAGAACAAGTTCAAAGAGTGATCTCTAGGCTATAAATGTCCTGGGTACTCTACACCATACATTATTTCAAATTGTACCTGACCAAAAGGACCAAAGTAGATAAATACCATGTGTCTTTTATTAAACAATACATTTTAAATACTATCTCTTATATGATATTCAGTAATATTCATGGATGCATTAATTAGTGGAATTTAAACTATGGCCTGTGTAAAATGTTTCAAAATATAAATGTAAGAACATTCTTTTTTATAAGAAGAAAAAAAGGATTTTAGAATTGCAATAATCACAAAGGATATCATACCTACAAAATAATGGTACATTGAGCTCCTGTGTCTTAGATTTCTATAGAATATTAATTTATGTTATGAATTAAAAGGCAAGGTTTGTATTTGCTTATTTTATGTAAGCAAGTGTACACATTCACACATACAAATACAATTGAAATAAAATTCTATTCCAATGTATTGATTTCTAAAGATTATCTTGCTTTTAGCCATAAAACAATTCCTCATATAAATATAAGCTATAGACCTTTTAAATTCTTTATGTAATTTGAATGCTATTGTGCTATTAATTGATTCTGGAGAGTATGAAAAACTATTAGTTTAATTGTTGAGGCAGGATATTCAATACATTTTCTAACCCTTTTTCACTCCCAAGTTGTTATATATTTGCAATCAAAAGTTTTCATGTCTGCAATACCTAATCTCATTGCATTGTTCTGTTTTGTGTCATTTCTGTATTCAAAGCACCAAAGGGAAAATAATGCCCCAACTGTTTAATGTGGATATAAAGTCTTGAATGTATTTTAGAAAAAAGGTATAACAAGGCATTGTAGGGTAGAGAAGCTGAGGCCATGAAATTACATTTTACTTTCAAATTGGAATTTATTTGTTGATGAAAACTTTGATAGTGTCAGACCAGTGCTGTATTTAGCAATTTGGAGCACACTGGACTCAGGCTTCAATTACTAAAACGTTCCCTGCTCTTTCCTTCCTCTCCAGATCGATTCTCCATGTTAGCCAACAATAATCTGCAGATCCTCAACATCAATAAAAGTGATGAAGGCATATACAGATGTGAAGGAAGAGTGGAGGCTAGGGGAGAGATTGATTTTCGTGATATTATTGTTATTGTTAATGGTAAGTAGGAAATATTTTGTGTTTTTTCTACAGCTCATTTCAACAACGTATTTATTAAACGAGAAAATGTGTTAACCCTGTGCTCAGTACTTCCTTCATGAATATTTTCTGTACCTAAGAGAAATCTTCCCATACATCCAATAGAAACTGTCACATTGTGTAACATCCTTCAGGGCAAGATGTCTGACTGGCTCAGCCACCATTCTAACATCACTTTTAGAAGTCTCTAAGCTGCCTTTTATCTCCTATGAACTTGCAAAAACAGTGTCAAATGAAACACTGTAAAGTATCATCGTATGTTTTATTTTAACAAATAACAAATCCCTTCTTTTATTGCTTAAATTATTTTTTGACATTATCCATATCTTCTCAACTTTAAAAGCTAAATCCAGAAAGTTACTTTCCAAGTCTAAGAAGACATTAGTATTTATGTTGGTGAAGATAGAAAGACACATTTCCTTTCAAACTTGTTTATCATACCTGTTTGTTAACAATTCCTTGTTTGTTAATGAACTGTTCTGTGAGGCTAGAAGATGTGTTAAAGTTTTTCTGTGTCTCCATTTTGGTTATTTAGTCAATTGTGGGCCCTTACATTGTATTAACATCTGTCACCTTTGTTATCACGGATGGCGGTGCTGCGCTTCATTTTATTCTTCTCAAATTGGTACCCGTTGGGTTCTCCTCTCTGAAATCTTACTGTCTCACTAGCCCCTCTGCCAAACATTCCAGCCCTAGTAATTCTTTAGGGAATCTGCTTACCTTCAAGCCAAATTAAAATGACTTCCCTTGGTACAGGAAATCCCTTGTGACTGTCCCTCCCTTTTGTGCTCTATCCTGAACATCCTATAATTCAGCCATATTAAAAAGCAGATCTCAGGGAGATAAAACTTTTCAGGAACATTTTCAGGTGCACTCAGTCCAGTAATTTTTAAATGTGCCATAGGCAATGGAGGATTTGACTTCAATGCACAGGACGATTTCAGAATAAAGGAAGAGATAGGTTTAAATATGGATGTGTCTGTCTATATCTGGATCCATATTTTTATTTGCATCTATGTACATCTCTTATCTACTTATTATATACATTAAACAGGGTAAAAACAGTGGCTATTTAGTTTAATTATTGATTTAACTACTGATTGTTCTTTATTTTCTAAAATATGTATGAAAGTATGTAGTTTGGTTCTCCATTCTCATATATAAGCATGGGATATTAATTGATACAGGTCAAAGTCTTCTAAAAATTCCAAGTTTATAGGAAGGAGGATAAAGGCATTTATTCTTTCAGGGTTATTTTATGTTATTACACACACATATGTGTATTACCTACATATTAAAATATTAATTACTGCATATTAAAAAGAAAACATTATCTAGCTAGCATACTATGCTAATCTTTTGTTACCCATTTGATATCATTTCTACTTTATGATATTATTTGAGACATTTTTGCATGTACTGTTTGTATGCTATAATTCATATTTATATTATTTTCAATGAAATGACTTTTAGTATGCATATTCATCCATGTAACAGAGTGTGACTCTTCAGGTTCATCATGGTCTGTGTTCAGACTGGAATAGTCAGTGCCATAGTTTTCCACATTTTGGAATGTGTACGTACTGAGTGTTCTGTGCTGTGCCACTCAGGGCACTCATGTGGATCATGTCCTGTTTTGTCTGTGTTGGACTGAACTTCCCCAAAGCAAGACATCCTTATCTCACTTTCTGCTAACAAATCAGTCACAGATTCTAATCTGCCTTTCTTTGCTCACACAGTGCTAGGTGTAGTCACATTTTCCCTTCACAGTCACAAATTTCTGTACCTCAGAATTCCTGGACACACTTTTCTTCAAAAGTACAGTGTTCTCAGGATTCACCGCTGGCTCCATCCTCCAGCTGGTGAGACTGAGACTCTGCCAAGATAATTGTGCTTTGCTCTCACATTTGCATTGACTCCAGCCAGGAAAAGCCGTGTCTTTATCCAGGCATAATTATCTCTTGTCCTGCTTACTGGCTCATTTTAAATATTGAGATTCTGAGGAAGTTTTCCCTTGTTATAATTTCCTCAAAAGATTCCTTAAAGATTTTTTAGGGAAACCTTTGAAACTGTAGGTAGTAATGATTAAAGAAATTTTTCAACATTTTTTGTATTTGTTCAAATACAAAATCTGACTTGCTTTATGTACTTACCCCCAATTCATAATTTGCCCTTTCTCACTGAATTTTGAGTCTTTTATCCTTGCTAATTTGAATGTTTCTCTTGTCTTCGTTTTTCATTCCCCAACCTCCTGCCAAGTGCACTAAAGTCTTTACCAAATATTCATCCAACAGCAGTTCGTATGAAGAACATATATACAAAGGTAAAGGTTTATTAACTCAGGTACAGTATTTGGATCCGACTATTAAATGGAATATCTAAGGAGGGTATGTTTTATGATATGTCAAGAGGAAATGAATATAAAGTGGCAATTAGAATGAATTCACTCATAGGTCTGTTAGTAATTTAAGAGAAATCTCACTTGTGACTTCCGCACTCTATTTTTAATTATATAACTTCCCCTTTTTCTTATATTTTAAAAATCCTTTCCTATGCTCACTTTTTTGTTGTTGGATATTCAGATAAGGTTTCCAGTCTGCCTGAAACTGTTTTTTACTAGCACAGTCTTATTACTGCATTCGTCTTATTATCATACCTCATTTCACTCATGACATAATATGTGAAATTTTTGCAAGGTATATCAACATTTACTGAATTATCTGTCTTCTCTTTTCATCCTGATTTTTTAGCTTCATTATTGTACCATACATGTATACAAACACATCTGCTTATACACAAATTAAAGATTATACCCCAAACAGTTTATCAGTGTCAACCGTTTTGCTTTGGTCAATGTGCATCCACCATTGTATGATTTCCAGCTCACTCTAATTACTCAGCTACAGGTTCCTATAAATGAAAGACTGGAAATAACTTTTAAATTTAAGATATAGTTAATAGATGATTACTTTTATAAAATATTCTCATGGACTACAATGATCTGTTATTTTCTAAATCTATTGTAAATTTGTGGAGAATGACCCACTAATTTAAGGTATTAGAGGAGGAAAAATTGAGGTTGAATGAAAAACACCTACCAGGACAATTTTACAGCAATTGAGTCTTTAACCTTTCTTTCAGTGTTACAATCAACAGTGGATGATAATGGACAGAGGTATTTGTGGAAATGGGTGTCTAACTATAAAGTGCACTTGTTATCTTGGTGATACTCAGGCAGTGATTTTGTATTCTTTCTTATTTCGAGTCATTTTTGAAGGTCAAAAAATGTGGAAAAGGATTTTACTTGATATTATAAATGAAAATTTACTTTATAATATCCCTTTTAAATTATATGCAATGTTCTAAAACATAAAGCATTTAAAGGGATAAAAGACATTGAAAATTCATTCTAGCCCCATGTATATCAGTAATATAATAGTGCCAACCAGCCCTACAAACAGCAAGATTTTTAAGTCATTTAAATGATTGTAATTCATTAATGAATCTGTAATTATAATATGTAAAACACAGTATGTAAGTTATTCAAGATTCAATAAGCATTTATCAAAATGAGAGTATTAACTTTAATTTTTTTCTCAATATCCTATTAAATTTCAAAGAGCAGTATTCCAGAAATAGTGTAAGGTAAATTATATATATATATATATATATATATATATATATATATATATATATCTTCTCTGTCTCCTTTTACAATTATTTTGGATGTTTTCAGATTTCAGAAATTAGAGAAAGAGAGAAAGAGAATGAACTGTCTATATAGATTGAAAGGTACTTTCTTTGCCTTTCTTTTCCACTTGAGTGTTTGATATAAGTTAATATAGCTACTTACTTTATTTCAGTGTTAATGTTTCTGACCACCCAGATTTTTCTGGGACACTTAAGTTGGCATGACATCATGTTTGAATGGTTTTACAGATGTGCATATTCATTTTACAACGGAACTATGTAATCCCTGATGATATTAGGAAAAAAGTAAAAGAGCAGAATTTTCTCAGTTTTGCAACATGTGAAATATATTTATCCACCTGCCATTCAGATGACAGTCATCTGTTGTCATGTTGGGGATAAGGCTTGCTGTTTGTTTTTAATCTGAAGTTACATTGATAAATACAAAACTGAGTTTTATTGGTTATGGGAAAAAGGATGAGTTTACAAAAAACTTCAAGAAATCTATAGGGAAACAGGTGCTACACTAGTGTCAATTTTTACTGTTTCACAGAACCAATCAGTAAAATAAAAGCTACCATCAAGATATGACCTGATTAAGGTATGCTGGCTCAGACCTGCAATCCTAGCTACTCAGGTAAATGAGGCCAGAGCATTTCAACTATGAGGCCAGCCTGAACAAAAGAGAACTGTATTAAAATAAAACACCAACACATGGACTTATGAGATAATTTAATGTAGATTGTATTTAATCCTCAGTTTTGTAAATGTGTGTGTTATATGTACTTTGACATTTTAGACATGAAAAGATGAATGGCATTCTGAATAGTCAGTGCCTAAATTGCTCTGAAGCAATGTTCAGTTTTGTTTCTGTATGTGCTTCACTGAAACATCACTTAGGGAAGTTGTGTCAGTCTTACTTATATTTTTAAATTATTTATGACCAATATCTCTGGCTTTTTTGAGTTATATTCTATGTATTTTAACATAATTGTAGATATTCAAATTATATATGTTTAAAATACTAAAAATTGTTGAGACGCAGAGAACATTCAGGTTCAGTAAAAACTACATAACCCACCATTTCTACACAATATGTATTCCAGGTACTAGATTGTCTTCCTGTCCAGTTTTTCCTTTTCTTTCTCCTCCCAGTAGATACAATTAATCTGACTCATTCTCCCACCTTTTCTTCTCACTTTCTCTTTTTGTGTGTGCTTGCTTTTTCCAACCAGGCTGATTTTTATTTTCCTTTTGTGTCATAGTACAAA